TTGTTCAATCATCAATTAGTAGCTACCATTTAATAGACAATCTAATTCGATATACAGTTTGTAGTATGACATGAGTCTCATCTGTGTTTTCTTTGATTACCACACTTCTTTTCATAAAACGATAGTGCTTGAAATTCTCCACAGTGATACAGTTTACGTAACGAATACAGTATGTTCCAATTTTTGAATTTTTTAGACGAAACATAATCATCGATTGTAATCGAGCACAAAATATACATGTACTTTTCTTTTTCAACGAGACTTTTTCTTTCATTGATGAATTTTCCTATTATTTTTATGTAGTTCCGATGTTTCAAAAAACTAGTAGTATGACTAGATCGAATTCTGAACAAATAGATTTTTGTAAAAATTAGATTCACTTCATTCACTGATTTCGAGCAATACTATTCATGGATAGATTCTATTTTAGCTGAATAAAATTTTTCTATTTTAGATATCCAACAGTAACTTATTGCCATAGCTCACCTAAATTATGTGTTGGTACAAAAACTGGTCTTCTTGCTTTATACGATTTAAAAGCACCAAAATGTCAAGTAAGAATTTTATAATATGTCAATCATCAATATTCAATAGTTTCTCTTTTCAATTAGCCATGTCAAGTTCTACCCAAAACTGAAATAATTACATGTGTAGAATTTTCAACCGATGGAAAATATCTTGCTTTATATTCAGGTTATGAAGGGAAATTATATTTTTGGCAGGTCAACATTTTTCTTTCATGTTTTGTTTTTGTTTTTTTTTAAATTTATTTTATTCTCTACAGACATCATCAAACACATTTTTTGGCTCATCAAATGCACTTCATCTTAGTTCAAAATATGATGTTCAACGACTTGATCGTTCGATACTATCACCGATGGAAAAAGTTAATCTTCAATGGATTGATCGTACTCATGTTAAAATGTGTTGGTATGACGATAAAATTGAAAAGACCTTTAAAGTATAAACGAAAAGATATCAAAATGATGCCTTTCTCTTTTTCTTTTGTCGTTTGATATTGCATTTGGCAATGTTGTGCAATAAAATCTAAATTTAAATGAACGAATGCATGCTTATTTATGAATTGACGACAATTTTTCTTTTATTATTTTGAAAAACATGAAATTGTATTATGATATTTTAATTGAAAGAAAATTTATTCAAAGATCCACTTAACCAATTTTTCATGAAATCAAATTTTCAGATAATAAAATAACTAATTTTGAAGTTCTTAAACTGTGTCAACGGTTAACGATGAGTGATGTGTGATACTTCTCTTAAACTGAAATAAATCTTATTGATGAAATTGAAATTCTCGCTAACTAGATGGGGTGTGGGTGTGGGTGTGGGTGTGGGTGGGATGTGCGGATGACCAGAAACATCGATTAGACTATTCATATCCATACACCCTTATCCGCACCTACACTCCTTCATGTAGGTAAAAAACGCTTTTGAACAAAATATTTTATGCAGTCCATTCTGGTATTTTGATTAACAGTGCCTCAATCCAAGTCACCCGAAATTCCGTTTTTCATCAGTTTGTAGAGCGAAACTCGCTCTATAAAATACGGTGTGAGTGTTGGTGTGCGCGTGTGAGGGTGTCGGTATGCGCGAAAAGAGATACACGTACACACACACACATCCACATTCATAGCCACACCTCTAGCCACATCCACACTCACACACCAACACCCTATCGAGCTCATCTTCTTGCAGTAATATATGAATCAACAGCACGATATCGAATTGAGTTCAAGTCATTGTTCATTTGAGACAAGCCTTTATTCAATTTGTTATCGAAAAACGATTGTTTCATCAGAGCTGCAATTCTAGAAGCTGTTTGAACTGATATAACCTCGCTTTTTCAATTAGTTGTTAGATCTTCGTGTCGATAACTACTATAGTTTTTGTTATCTATGTTATTCTCATGTACTGAAGATTGGAAATCTGAAAACTAATCTTGTCTGTTGCTACATCATGTCACATTGAATCAATGTGTGTTTGATACGTATTCGTCATTATAGAAACCGAAACTTGATATAACCAATACGAACAGCATCCATCAGTGAGACACATATTTTGTGTTCTGGAAAAAGTGGAAATTGCAACGAGTGCGTATCTCTATTCTTATCGTTACAATGAAGAATTAGCCAAATAATGTTAATCACTACGTCGTTATTTTGATTCAAGCAAAGCGAAAGCTTCATTTTAGATAGGTGTAATTTTCCCTAGCGATTTTATAGTCAGGCACAAACACCTTAATGAGCAAAGAGAGCAGTTTGATAAAATAACATAATTTTAAATAGTTTATATTCCATGGGCCATAGAAGAATGTAGCAGAGAGAAACTGTGGAGAGCGATGTCTATGTCGCTTCCAAAAGTATTGATAGATGATGATTATTAATGAATTATTTCAATGAATAGTTTTAGGCTTTTCAATTGAAATTGTTGATAAAAATTTGTTTTATTACCTACTTTTCTTTCAGAAAAGTTCATTTTATGAATGAGACTTTAATCATCACTTCGCAATTAGTAGAAGCTTCGGCAATCGTCGTGTAAAATGGGAAAATCAGACTGTTGTATTTAATATTAGGAGTGTCTCAATCGGGCTTGTATTTTCAGAACTCGCGAACCTGCAACTTTCCAAGTTTCCAGAAATTTTAAACATGCGGGTTTCAGAATTGTGAGATTCCTACACTAAGACAGTCCGGGATTTTGAGTTTCCAGAAACTCGGAGTGCCTTTGTCTCTCAACCTCAAGAAGAAAATATATGTGTATGAATTTGTTCAGAGATGTTCGAAATCCGATTTCTACAGGGTTTTTGTTTCCTAGAGTTAGACGCCCAAGGAATTAGAAACAGTATACCCCTACTAATTTTGAGATTGCTGATGAAAACCGTACGGACTTGTCTATTTTAATACTGAGTCTTAGTTTTTGGTTTTGTTCGAAGTTTTCATTAGATAATTTTAAAAAATATGCGTCTCATTATTACGAAATCAGCAGGTGTGATGAGCAATAAATGCATCTTAAATATATCTCCACCGTGTTGCAAATATTTGTGCAAAATGGGTGTGTTGTTGGGAGGAAGAAAAAAAAAACACAAGCGTACTTACACTCACGCTCACACCCATACCTTCTTAGAATTAGCTCTTCTCATGACAGAAAAAGTATTTTGAAGTAGATAAAGAAAAAAAAATCAATCTATTATTTGCCTTCTTATCGTTAAATCTACTTCGGTTAGTAATATATTATATTTCCTTAGTATTGAGTCAGGTGTTTGATTGAAGGCTTTTTTTCAATATACTCAATGAAACTACACACATACGTATATGCGCATAGAAGAAAGAGAATATTATAAAGCAGCATGCCAATATTGACAGCATTGCATATCACTCGACGATTGGAAGGAAAAAAACCATAATCAAGCGTATGACCTACAGCATCAAACACATATTTCTGACGTCAACCTTCAGAGCATAAAGGTAAGAGTCGATTGAATCATTCGTTCTTCGTGGGAGTATACGCTGATGAATGACACTTAAGAACAATTTTTTTAAGCTTCTTATTCAACACAGTTCACTAAAGATATCTAAATAGTGGTTTCGATAGCTCTCATAAAGAATTTAATCACTATCGTAGAGAATAAAATGAATAGGTAATATTACTGAAAACTAGAAATACCAGAAATATTCTAAAGATCGATTTTACATGAGAATTCACATTTTTTTAAAGTAAAAACCTAAACTGAAAGTTTTTGCAATAAACGTTAGAAATGTTAAGCCCGATTTTTCAATAATTATCTTCTTCAAAAATATTTTAACAAACTAATTGATTGGACAAGGTTATCGACAAGATGCCTTATAAAGTGATCAGAGGTCACCATAGAGCAAGGTTGTTTCTTAATGCTGAAAAACTGAATTATTTGAACGAACACTTTATTCATTTCATTCAACTAATTTTTCAAGTATCATTTACATAGTCGATTACTTCACGTTTAGATTTATCTTGATATTATTCATGCAATAAAATTCTATTGTTATTCAATTATAGATTTTGCTTTAAACAGCAATGATAGGTGCCGACTTACATTTTGAAAAGGTAAGAATAAAAATTGTTTATCCTTATCAACATATTAGTCTTATTTTGAATCGACTTCATGGTGCTTTTTATGAAAACAGAAAATTATATTGAAAGGACAATTAATATTTTTTAATGTTCTCATAACTATCTCAAATAATTGACCAATTTTTATTCATAGTTCAAGAATGATAGATCACAACTTATCGCCGCAAAAAACGATGCACAAATGCCATTACGAGTACGAAATCTATTGGAACAGCTGGGCGACGAACTTATTCTTAAAATTGAACTCGGTCGTACACCTGTCCAAGGTTTTCCTATTAAAATACTTAACTTTTTAAGCCATTCAAAATTTACCGATAAACAACTTGAGCTTGGTTATGATGAAATCTATCACAATTATTTACTCGTTACTATAAAGAATAGTCAGGGACCTCATACACTACAACATATGCTTGGAAATATCAGATTAAATGTAAGTGCTAGAACCATTCTTAAACTTGAAAAAGCACAACGTATTGCTCTCAAACCTCCGTCTATACCCGATGAATTGATTGATGTATATGATATTCCACTAACACCAGATAAACCATTAACACTCAATCGACTAATTTCTACAGCGTCGAATGTTGACAAAAATTTTTACACGTATGATGCTGGTGAAAATAATATGTGTCAAACATTTGTCGAAAACATTATCGATATCAATGGTTTGACACCTAATATTCTTGATCAAGCAACATTGAATGCTCTCAAACCAATCGATACCAAAGCATTGATTTCTTCGCTAGGCAGTCGATCTAATATCGTTAAAGTGGCGACTGATTTCACTGCCAAATTGGACAGATTAGTATTCGACCATAAGATCAAATGGAAAAAACCTCAACCAAAAGAATTTGCTCTGTTGCCTAATGCCAATGTCACTGATTTGGAAAGCACCAACACTATATACTATGCGATTCTAGAGCTCGAAAAAAATGGTAAGAATACGGCACACAACAAATTCTATTGCTTATATTTTATTATTGTTTGTAGCACGAGTGCTTCTTCATTCAACGCCACCACCATCGCCGCCCGAATCACCATTGCGCTTCAGATTTTAAGAAAAAAACTTGCGTACATTTAAACTATGCAAGTTGTTTTATGAAATACCTTCACAATAAAAACTATGCATATCTTGAACGTATTTGAAACCAATAAGATAAATATTCTCTGATTCTAGAAAACAGTTTCAGTGTTTTCATTCATACGTGAAAAGTTTCCAAAGCTCGTTCAAAATTGTCACCATTTACTCTAATACAGAAAATTAGCCTTTGACAATTTCTAGAATTACTTTTGGGCAATGTTCTCTAAATATTGAAAAAAATTTGAACCTCTATTTTGATTAGGTTTCATGTTCTCGAAAAACAAAAATATCAGTCGTTTTGATAGACCGTCAGCACAAAATAAAAGTTGGGTCTTCGACTATAATCTTAGCTTATTATTCATAGAGCTGTTGCATTCATAGATCGATTTGTTGAACGCTTTAGTGATGCAGCGTGACATATAGTTTTGTACTCAACTATCACTCGCTATGTGTATTTTCATCCATATCTCACATACTGCTCACTCTCCACGTAAACAAGGTAATGAGTAAATGCTGTTAACAATAGGTCATTTTCATTTCAATTTGAGACGACGAAATCAGTATGATGAAGAAATTTTTCTGTGATGTATTACTATAGCAATACATCCTCTTCTACATTCTTTACTCATGTTGCTCTTATCCACCTCATTGCGTTTCTTCTGTGAAATGTATCGCCAGCTGTCATATTTCACATTTGTATGTGGGCTTTTGTTGGTAATTTGCTTATAAAGGAATATGAGACATGGGTGTAGGTGTGTATTGCTTACTCGCATCCACACCCACACCCCGTCTTATTAAGAAACTTAATGAACAATCGCATCTTGATTGAAATTCTTCGGATAGAAAGTGACAAAGAAAAACATGTTTGTTCTGAGTCTAAATGTAATGAGTTTCTAGTGAAAACGAAATATATTCTTAGTTACACTTATTTCATTGGAACGTAGATTGAGTAAAAGTATCACGAATGAATCATCCGAGTGCGTTTAACTATGAATAGTTCTTCGAAAGAATTTTTCATTAGATACAAATACATTTTTGTTTTTTATTTAATTAACAGTTCCTTCTTCAAATATATCGAGTACTTAGCATTTAAATAGAAGTAATTTTTTATAATCTCCTTCTAAAAACCTTTTATTATATATTTTCTAGAAACACATGTCTTTCTTTCTCGATCAATTTCCAATCGAAGTTCTCAATTTAATTATTAATTACTTATGGACTCATGTAATTCTACATAAGTTTTATAACATAAGTGACTATCTCAATCGTGTTCTATCAAAATTTGACAATTATATGATTCATTTCCAATCGATTCATAAATCTTACTTTGATCTTATATGCCATCTTGTTCGATCAGAACAAGTCGTTTCGTTAATTCTGTCCGATGAGAAAGAAACACCATATCAATTGCCGTTGTTTTTCTCTTAATTTTCAATGCAACAATTTACTTGCATGCACTAAAATTAATCATGACTGTCTGATTTATTCAAAGTTCAACATCTTGTTTCTATTGAAATCGACGTCAGCATTGATCTTCCATTAATTAAAATTGCACTATCATTGAAAAAAACTCATTATTAATATACCATCAGGTGTGCGTTTTGATATTCTATCATTGATTAGCAAGATTTCATTTGAACAACTACGTCAATTATCGTTGTCTCATTGTTCTCTTACTGTGTTGAAACGAATCTTTCGTTATACTTCTCGACTTATTTCACTTACAACATCGTTATTATTGTCAAATCTTGGTGAAATCGACATGTTATCTAATATTCATCAAAAACAACCAACAACATTGCCTCTTATTTCTCTGTCATTGACTATTGGTGCACTTGATGAGTATTACAAATATATGAAACAATATTAACAATACGTTTTCATTTTGTTTTTTAGGACAAATAATAATGCGTACTCATATTCGAAAGGTTTCTTACTTCATTACAACATTTATGACGATTAGAACTAGTCATTGTCAGCTGTGTAGAACGTCGATTTCTCAATGCTAATCGATGGAAAAAATTTATTTTTGAACATTTACAAAAACTTAAGGCATTTGATTTTAAATTGTCTTCTGGAGATATCGATAAAAAAAGTACTTGATCAGTTTCGTTCTCCATTTTGGCTTAATAAGCATCGGTTTGTAGCATTGGATTCAAGTATTTCATCTCTTTTTACTTTGCTCCGACTTTAATTAATGATTCATCTTCTCCAGTATCATTCAATTGTACTACATTATACCTATTGAGCAACATCTCGTATTTTATGATCGTATTAGTAAATTAAGATTTGCATCAGATCGATAGCAATTACCATATCGTTATAATCATGTTAAAGAACTTATTTTAAATGATCCTTATATGCATGAGAATATCGTTGATCTATCAAAAGTGCAATCAGTAACTGTGAATACATCTGATTGACTGTTGTACAAAATTGTTACATTGATTAAACGAGTAATACCTTGTGTCAATTATCTTTGATTAAATTGTATTCATCCTAAACTTCAATATAAAACTTTTCCTAATCTTTCATTACCACAAATTCAAATATTATCCTTAGTTCAATATGGACAATTTATAGGAAATGATACATTCAATTGGTGAAAACTTTTCCATGTATCGAACGATTAATTGCTTCGATTAATTCGAAACGTCAGATTTCATCTCTTATTGATCATTTCAAAAATATGATCAGTGCTTTCTTTTCTATTGATCATAATCATATTGATATGAATTATTGAATTCAAATTACACGCCAATGGTTACTGAAACATACTTATCATTTAAAAGACAAAAAAAACAATTTTATATGTCAAAAAAATGACCAATATTTCTTTTCATTGTCTTTATGAATTAGTGAGAATGATAAAGTACGTAAATGAAAATTTCCGTTCAAACTATCTTCAGTTAGATCGATCAGTTCAACAGGTACATTATAGTCATTGGTAATGTCGAAATTTTCCATTGAATTCAACAAAATAGATTGAACGATTCTATTTATTAATTCATCTTTTTTTGATGATTGAAATTCATTGAAAATAAAATATTTCGATTTAGTTCATTTTCGGTTTTGTTTTTCCTGGTATTCCTTGATATAAATTAAAAGGATGTGAGTGTGATTTGAAGTATTTAATAAATCATTAGCTTTAAACAGAAAAAATTACATGAATTCGCTTTTATCGCAGGTCTTTAATAGAAAAGGATATCTGATTTGCTAGGATAAAATCCAAACTTTATGCTGCACATTTCTGATTAAAAAGCTTATTGCTTTTATTTATTTGTTGGAAATAAGACGCAACCCAAAGTTAAGAAAATTTTATTTTGTCGCATATGATTTTGTAAGATATAATGTTCTTATTCTTCTTGTTGAAGCTCCTGTTTCTTCCATTCCTCATAACATTCATCTAGTCGACGTCGTTCAGTAAATCGCAATGGAAATTTCACATCCTCATACCTTTGGAACATGTATTCAGGATGACTAAAAATATGAAAAAAGAAACATATATCGAAAGTAAAGTATTAGAACAAAAAAAAATGATCTTCTAAATTACCCATCATGTAATTCATAAAGATGTTTCTGATTGAATGATAGTGTGTTTGAGCTTTTCTCATGATAAGTGTATTGACAACCTAATGTCGATGGATAGTTAGGTGTATTGCTATTACAACAGTCATACGATGAACAGCTATGACCATAACCTTCATATTTCTATCGAAAAATAAAAATATTACAGAGAAATAGTCTCCCTATAGGAAATAATTCTATTAGGATTTTATTTGAAGGATAGCATTAAATTTCGAAACAAAACCGAAAAATAGACATGCATGAACACATGACTCTTACTCCTGGATGATAAAGACATAACATTTCTTTTTCATTTTTTAATTGATTATAATATAAACCACAGCGTTGACATAAGTCCATGAATGGCAAGTCATCTTTAGTTGAGAAATTTGTTGTATAGCTTGACCAAAAGTCATTATAAATGAAAATTCGTTCTAAATTTTCTCTATGATCTTCAGTATTAAATAAACGACAAGCATTTCCTATATCAAGATTATCACATAGATAAAATTCAATATGTTTAAGTTTTCTACAGGATAGAGCTATGAATCGAACACCAACGATTGATAAAAGATTACCCTCAAAACTAATTTCTTCAATCGAAGGAAATAATAAAGCAGTTAGACGTAATGATTCATCAGTATGAATAAAATTTTTGAATAGAACCTACACAACATAAAGAAATATAACGTGCAAAATTATCAAAATTTATTGCTCAACGAGAATTTTATTTAATTGTTATCATTAACTTTTTGGTCAATTTAAATCGTTGTATACTCTGTTCAGATGATGCCATTTTTTCTAGAACTTTTTCCAAAGCTTTTGAATCTTTTGGTGGTTGAACCATTGACCATAATTTCGCCTCAATCACATCTTCAAGAACATTATGTATACCTACATCATTATTCATACAACCAATATAAGGTAATTCAATCACCTTTGGCCATAATTTAACATCTGTATAGATACGTTCTTTCCAAAAATAACATGTTTTAGCTAAATGAACAAGACTTTTCAAATCTAAATAGTTTAATATTATTGGAATAATGTCAATAAATGGTCCAGAATCCATAGTAAATGTAGCTGAAATAATAAAACCATACTCTATATTATTAATAATTCTTTCATTAATTATACTTAATCACCTGATTCTTCTGTCGTCAATGTCATTACTTTAATTTTTTCTACTATGACGATTATTCTAACTGAAGATGTAAATATAATATGATGAAAATGTGCATGTTCGGTAGCCAATAGTAATCAAAGGCTTTTTCTTATTCTTTGTGTTTCATTTTCTTCTTGGTGTTATTACTCAACTATTTGTAAGAATAAGAAACGAATGAATCGTCATATCTATTTCGCAACAAAATTGTATATCACTTAAAATATTGAAAATCAATAAAACTAAAAATAAGGGTGTGGGTGTGGATGTTCTGTACACCCACACCCACGCCCACCCACACATCCACACACCCACGGTCACCCACACCCACACACCCGTACATAAAATCTTATATTTTCGTTTGTTTATCATCGATGTTAAGCTCCTATTATTCATCAATAGTCACGATATTTTGGATGTAGGATGGATTGAGAAGGCTCACGCCCATAATGCTTGACGTGATGTACATATAAGGATAGTTTTATTGCATGAATATATATTAGAATGCTTGCACGTGAGTGTGAAACAATAGAAGGCCAGCACCAAAACGTATCTTCTTGATTGCGGACATTTTTCCTTAATTGGCGGAAAAAAATGTCCGCAAAATATAATCGGAAGGAAAGACGAAAATGTCCGCACAGTGGAATCAAGGGGAGAGAGACAAAAAAATATTCGCATCATGGAAACGAACGAATATAGATATAATAAGATGATCACTGTAGCTAGTTCGATTTGAGGGTAAATAATGCATCTTTCAAGCTAGTTTGAAATGTTACGTGGTGTCCAAGTCATTTTTTGCATATACTATGGAAGAAAGTATATAAAGTAATAGTTAGATAGTTAGATAAACTAAATAAAAATGCCAATCGTGAACAATGATAGCTTTTCTTCAATTATAACACAATCTGGTAATAATGAAATAATGTTCAAGAACTACTATTTCGAATTAAAGCGAACGAATAAGAATGAAAGCAAAATATGGATTTGTATACATAAATCTTGTAATGCTTCAATCACCACAAACGAATGCTTAATTTTAAAAATTTTATCTATTCAATCAGATGGAATTCATGACTATGAACATGTAGAAAAAGTGTCTTTAAATGTATATGAATGCGTTAAACATCGATAGCAAATGAAGATGTTTTAATTCAAGCTAAACAAGAATATTTAGATGATTGCTTAGATTGTGAAGGTTATCAAAAGCGACTACGTTCACTCTGTTACTGTTATATTAAGGTATTCGATACCAATGACAAAGATGATCTTGATTATGAACTTAAACAAAATTAGATATCCATTGTCTTTCATTAATGAATTTTTTCTTTACATTTCTTCATTTAATAAAATTTGTCTTCATTCTATCATGCAATTATTTTGTCTCTATCCCTACGATTCCGCTTTGTGGACAATTTCCAATCTGCGGTCATTTTCGTCTCTTCCCCTGACTCTATTTTGCGGATATTTTCCTTTAATTGGTAATTAAAAGTATCCGTAATCAAGAATGAGCTCACCGAAACGTATCCTCTAATTTGGAATCAATTTGAAACGCAACTTCAGTAAACAATCAAACGATGTAAAAAAAAAAAAGAAAGTTGATTATAATCTAATCGATCAAGCATTTAAAAAATTGTTTTTTTCCTTCTTCTTGTCATCGAATATAAATATTTGTTCGCAATTTTCCAATAATAAAATTTAGATTTGTTTATATGTATAAACAAACAATCGTTTCATTCATTCTTGTTAAAAAAAAGATAACAAGAACAAATTTTTCATTGATCATATCGATTCTTTTGATTATTGTATTATTCAAACGAAATACAAAAATGAGATTTTTTTACATATAGTAGCATATTTCATCATTATCATCGTGACTATCAATAATTAAAAAATGCTGTTCCAATTTTTGATATCTACATTTGTTCAACTGAAAAATGTTTAATTTTAACTTTCATAAATATAATTTCTCACCTTTCAATTCTTCTCATTATCACATGTATGAGAAACAGAAACGGATAGAAAGAAGAAGCATATAAGAAAATGTATCAGGCATGTGATAAGAAATTCCCAACAAAATGAAAGAATTACAGAAAAGACCAGACATACAAAGAGAATGAACTGAGACGTATTATGGATGAATAACCATAATAACGAATCTCTGTTGAAATTTTTACATAGACAAAATTTAATTATTATACGATTTTGAGCAATTCTCTTCACAGAATTAATACTAATTATTAGAGTCCGAATTAAAAGTTACATTTGCAAATAAGAGAAATACGTATGATGATTTCTTCAATAGTAACATTATTACAGGCTCTGTACACGTCAGTTCGAATACGTGACATGCTAAAAAAAAAATTTTTTTCTCTTCTTTTTTTATCTATTTTCTCATTATAGTGAAAGTCGAATAATCAGTTCTATATTATTTATTCTTTGTGTATTTCAGTTGTTCAAGCTTCTTCACTCGGTATTAAAAGATTAAATTTACAATCAAAATAGATTTTGCAAAGTGATCTCTAACTATTCAAGTAAGTTATTTTTTAGCAAAATATAAATATATTTCATTATATAATTTTTTAGAATTAGCTTGAATAAAAATAAATCATATCAATGCATTGTACTATGACGTCGAACAAAAATATTGAATTCATAGATTTGACAAAAGATGAACAAATTCACGAAGAACCAATAATGAATAATCAATGTCAATATACTTTTCGAATTCTAATTGAAAATGAGGTTTGTCTATTGCATTTAAGATCTCTCTATTGATATTTTTTCATCTTAAAATCAAAATATTTTAATTGTTTACAATTTTATCTTAAAAGATAATGATTTACTTTAATTTTTGTATTTGTTGTAAATCAAATTAGTTTATAATACTAATCTAGTCATGATAAAGCTGGTTGAAATCAACACAATCTTTTGACATTTCACTAATCAAAATATCGTAAATCATTGACAGGAAGAAATCGATAATTGACTTCAAGGAAACGTCATCTATACATTTCACCGGCATTGAGCGATATAAAAAACGAAATTGTCTACACAATGATTTCACTCATAGAGAAAGAAAAGAAAAAAATATGCAATTGAATAAAACAAGAAAACATAATCAGATAATAAAGTGACATGTATCTGAAAAGATATTAATGTGAGAAAGAAAATGCAGATGGTAAACGTCATGCTTATTTATGATTCACCATTTTTTCCCTTCTATTTTTTTAAGATAAAAAGTCAACTAATGACTTAACTTTCAGGGATATTTTTATTTATATTAATTTTTATTAGATTTCATCAACAACAAATATACAAAAACCAACTCATAGTTCAATTAATCATCAGCAAACATCGAAATCAAGCATTCACAATGATCAAACGAAAAAACTTAAGGTAAAATAAGCTGATTTAGAGATTTTCAAATGATTAAATATCATAGAAAAATTTAATGTTTGTATTTTACATATGAAGATCACAATGAAAATCAATTTTTCTAATAGGAGTCGATAGAAATACTCAAAATTTTAATGAAAAAAAAAAAGTTTTGTCGTTTATGAAAGATCAATTGACGGACTATTATTTTTACGTATATATTAATTTCGAGCAAAGTGACTATTTTTTAGAGAGGCCTTAAAAAACTTCGGCTATCCAAACTCTGAATAAAAGAAATTTGATATATTTAAGAATCTTATATTTTTTAACAGTTTAGAAATTCTAATTTAATTTAAATCAACTTTTACACATTTTTAGTCATATATCAATAAATATATGATCATAGATTGTCTAAAAGGATTACAAATGTTACCGAATAATTCAGTTCAATGTATTGTTACTTCACCACCCTACAATAAACTTGGTCTTCGAGAAGGTCGTCCGTATTATGGACAAATTATTTATGATACATATGATGATAATATGAATATCAACAATGGCAATGTAATTTATTAAATGAAATAAATCGTATATTAACACCAAATGGTTCTCTTTTTTTATAATCATAAAGATCGTCGTTATTGTAAACGTGATTATCCTCCTGAAAATTTTATTCTTCAAAGTAATTTAAAATTATATCAAACAATTATTTGGGATCGTGCTTCTACAATTAATCAAAATTTTGATTATTTTCGTCCAAATCTTGAAAAAAATTTTTTGGTTAACAAAATCTTTCAATGATTGTTCATTACCACTAAAATTTTATCGTAATAAATTACCAGAATGTTTTAAAAGTTCAATATGGAGAATAGCATCTGATCGAAAAAATTCATATCCAGCTCCATTTTCACAATTATTAGCTGAAATTTATATTTTAGCAACAACTGATCAAGGTAAATCTAGAATGAATGATTATGTTAAGAAAAAATAATTATTATCAATTGACATGTTTTTGTTTAAAGCTGAATAAAATTCCACTATGAAAAAGCAATGGAGAATTCTTTTTTTTCTTTGATTAAATTTTTCAAATGAATCTCTTAAAATCATGGTAAACTATTTTTAGGTGATCTCCATTCGCTGGATCTGGTACAACACTTGTAGCTGCAGCAAATCTTAAACGATCATTTCTTGGTTTTGATATTAGTAAAAAATATCAAAATATGTTTCAAAAACGATTAACTAATTCAAATGCTCAAGTCAATCTTTGGAAACAAATGTTTGTCGTAGAAAAAATTCTTGATCGACGAATTCGAAATGATAGTGTTGAATATTTATTAAAATGGAAACGTTTTGGTCGTGATCAAAATACTGTACGTTGAATTTTTGTTTTATTTTTCTTTATTTCTTATTTCAATTTTTGAGTTATTTAAAAGAACATATAGAAGAATATTTTAGCTAAATTTATTTTACTTGAATAGTGAGTAATTGAAATGTTTCTTCATTTAGTGGGAGGACAAGTACAATTTACATTGTCCAAAATTACTCAAACAATTTGAATCATCATTAAAACAGGAGAAAAGAAGAAAAAATGTATCTTCCACTAAAGTAAGTCATCGCTATCATTATATTTTGGTTTTATGCAATTTTTCTTTGTTTATTTAGTCACGTATATACAAAAGAAAAGTTATTTCATCGACTGAAGAAGAACGTGATGAAAGACCAGCCAAACGCATAGCTAATATAAAATTATCATCGAAAAAAAAAAGTGTACCTGATTCATCTGATGATGAAGATTATTAGTCATAAAACATGACATTCATGATCAAATGGTCTAGTGAACTCAATCAGTACTCTAACCACTTGATCAATGAACAGTTTTCTTAGTCTTTTCATTTTTCATTTGTATCGTTTTCTATATGGTTCAGATATTTCAGTTGTTTTTTTTTGTATTGTTCTATTATGGTTATTCATAGTACCATAAACAAATTGCCGTGTATGAATAAATATCGTCATGACAGTATTTCTCACATATCTTCATTTGCCTTTTACTAATTATCAAGAATACGAATAAAAAGATCAATTGAAAATCAAGATATTATAATCGCAATTTATATCATACATTAATTCTTGTTTTGCACTCAATATTATTAGTTACGAAAATTAATTATATCATTGTCTAAAAGAGGGAATCATTCACATACAAGCGCTTGTATGTGTCTATCTATTTGTTAAACGAAACAAAAAGTAATACTAGTTTGTACTTGAATTTTGATTTTCTAATTTGAAATGTAGTAAGAAAAAACAATAGAAATCAACAAAAGCGAACATGTCCATCGAATGAATCAATATTAAAATAAAAAGAAGGAATTTGAAATATATAAAGAAAATCTTATCAACGTAGCCTCTTTAGCGACTATAAATGTGACACTTACATCTATTATGTCATACCTATCTGTAATGGAAAACCGTAAAATTTCATCTTAAAATTTACATTCATTATTTTTCTTTAAAAAATATATGTAAGTTCTACAAAACAGTTTTTATTTCATAAGTCATGCAAAAAAGAACTAGGATGTAAACTGTTGTAGTAACCATAGCTTGACACTTACATATAATAAAAGTACTTGTTAATTAGTTATCGACAATAGAAATAGAAAACAAAGAGGATCAACATGACATTGAAGATAACGTACACAAATACGAAGAGTTTTTAATCATTCATCATCAGTCATCAGTATTGAAAAATAGTTGATCATATTAAGATAATCTGTAGATCTCTTGAAGAAACCTATTGATTAATGTGTAGGGTGTGGTTGTGACTAAAGAGAGAATTAACATGATGCATGTATCTGAAAACTTAACAAGAGAAGAAAAGATAAATAAAGAGTTGAACAAAGAATTTGCTAAAGAAGAGCTAGTGTATGCTACAATCAGAGAGTATTCTTTAATATAATCAAGAGAAATCAACGAATATTTTAGTGGATATAGAGACTGTCTAAAAAAATGGACAAGTATTAGATTGTAAATATCACAGCACGAAGTCTTATTATGGTATTTTATTGAGACTCAACTTAAAAACAATATACTCTCAGTAAGGGAATACTTAGAAAAATGAATTAATGAATTTGATGATACCCGACCAATTACCAATGAGATTAGCATCGTGAAAGATGCAAAAGATTTTTTGAATTCAGCTTCTGATCTTTATTTAAAATCAAAGCTTGCAATGAAAAGCTTATCTTCGATTCCAAGAAATACAGTTGTATTTATTAAAACTAAGACAGTAGACAAATATTTCATTTATTTTGTAGAAAACAGTGTCTAGGTTAAAGTTAATATAGGTCTACAAAGGAAAGAAATTTGGCAAAAAGTCTACTAGCATTATAAACAGAAATTTTTTTGAAATAGAAGTTTCTCAAAAATCGAAGTCGAGTAAATTTTTACATTGTACACATCATATGAAAGCTATTAGTGGTAGTTCAACCGATGAATTACTTGATTTATTAGCAGACGACAATGTGTTATTAAATATTGACCATAATGTCGATTTAAAAGAGACTCTTTTTCGAAACGATAAATTCATTTTAAAAAGTCAAAGAACTAAAACGATTGAGCTTTATAAATCATTGGAAAAAACGTATCGATTTGTAGGACACTATCCTATTGAACGGTATTATCATCAAGCTGTGTGTCATTTTTTAGAAGAAAGAAGAAAGTTTCAAGAAAAAATTTCTTCTTTCTGTAACAGATAGTCAACTTCATTGAATTTTTCACAAAATAAATGAATTATCCTCTCAGAATAGATAATAATGCCATTATTCTGACTAAATGTGAAAGCAGTTCATGTTACCATGTTTATTTTGTAAAAGAGGAATAATGGTTGAAAAATCATAGTATTGATAGTTTAATAAATCAGATTGTCAAAAATATTTCCATCGATAGAAATACTCAATTGATTGACAAAAAGACATTTGAATGCGTGGAAGGTAGAGGTAACGTCGAGAAAATTTCTGCTAAGATGAATATAATTAGATGGTATTCTTTTAGAGAAACATTTGATGGTAGAATAGTTGAACAAATACAATATTTTATACACATCGATATGATTCATGACGAATGGTATTTGTATTAAATTAGTAACAAGTCGATCAATACAATGATCTGTTTCATCATCAATCATTGACGTAGATAGACACTAAAATGAAAGTTGTGGAAGTAACATTCGATCGTAATGCAATAAGACTATTATGATGTGTACATGGTATAAAATTTAATTCTTCTGTTAGATGACTATTATTGGAACGAAATGATTGTCATGAATATAAATTTTCTGTATTCCAAATAATAAATATGAAAAAAGAATATTTCCTAGATGAAATAATTGAAATAAAATTTAATCTGTCTTTTCTTAAGACTTTTTATTATCGAACATTAAAAGTTGGTCAGTTAAGAAATATTATTCATTATTAGTTTTGATTTGTACATCTTTTATTTGTGTATTAATACAAAGTGTTGTTGACCAATTGGTATTTATTGATGGATTATATTTTTGATTCTTGCTCGTTTATCTTCTCATATAAGGTTTTCATTCGATATTGCTGTATGTCCTACATTAGATAAATATTCAAAAATCTTTAATATACTAAAATTTGAGTATAAAAATGAACTTTTTCATAAGTAATTTCAGAATAACAACACATATATATTAATCTTGTTTGAATTTTTCTTTCTGTATAATTTAAATTATAAATATTTTCTTTTGAAGATAATCAAATATATCATGCTTAATATTAATTGTTGAATAATAGCATTTTTGACATTACATAGCTCGACTGTTTAAATGACATCTTTAGAAATAATAATAATAATTAAAAAAAAATCTATAACGATAATCTTTGTTTTTTTTTGTTTTTACAATATGAAAATCATATTTTGCTTAAGTAATATAGAATATAAGCAAAAATAACATTGTCCAGCATCAGCACCAAGTTCACCACATTCTTGAAATGAGTATTCACAAAAATTGTTGGATATCTTGAAATGTGGGTGTACATTGACAACATATAACTAACAGAAGTTGTTCTTCTATTGTAAATGAATTCATGAATGAAAACAAAACTAGGTGCTCGTTCTGAAGAAACAATAGGTTCAAAATTTGCTTCATTCTTCAATATACTTGCATGTACTTTAATTTTAAAAAACGGAGTGTGCATACTTTGCATTATTAATACAGTACAATTAACTTGATTTCTGGCATTTTGTGAACAAATATCCGCTTCTCTTCTTTTTCCATCAGTATGATTAGCTTCGATAAATGTGGTCAAACTAACCAATATACTTATGCGTCCGAAGATGACGATAACGACAGCCATTTTCAAGGTGGTTGTAGGTGTGGATCCAGCTGTTCTTCCTTGCTTCAACCTCAACTACACCCTCTCTACACAAATCATTCCACTTCAAGAATAAAAAGAAAGCAATCAATCGGTCAAATGACTGTTTCTAACTAAGAGGAATAGATAATTGAGAAACAAGTTTTGCCCTTCTATTGATATGAACTTGATTTTTTAAGTCATCTTTGTTATCGACAGATCATTCTTCCATTTGAAGAATGACTAGCGGACATGTGTAGTTCAGATAGGAAAGATTTATTCGTTATTAATTGACTAAATCAATTTTGTTTGAGTATCATGATAATTAGAAGATAATTTTTTAGATTTGTTGAAAACTTGAAAGAGAATATGACTAATTCATATTCAACGTCTTTTTCGATCTTTACGAAATTACTCCATACCATCTTTGAGCTGTTCTAACAAGTGGATACTAAAAAAACAGTAGAAGTGAAATTTTTACTGATCTATCTAACTAAGAAGTGAATAGCTTCGACGGTAATTTTTTTAATTGTTACACCAACTAAGGAATGATGATATATAATAGAATTATAGGATCCTGATTAAACTATCTGTCCATGTAATAGATAATTGATATATTCCTTTGTGAATATTTCAAAAACTAGATGAGTTACAATCATTTAGCTTTCGTCAGACTACATCCTATAGTTTCTAGTATATAAAAAAAATATTGAGGTCAATCTATTGATCTATTTAGCTTTTTCTTAGTGTTATAATCATAGCATGTTGTTTTTCATTCACTCAAAATGATCTAACTATCCATTTGGAAAACTGTAATATTTACTTAGCTCTATTCTTGAGTCTATCATTGACAAGAGAGTGTGGATATGGGTGTTACCAGATTGAGGGACACACGCATACACTCACACCCATATTGTACCCTTTTCATTGTCATATACTTTCATGATCATGTATCTCACCTTCATGAGACATATGAACAATCGAAGCAATATGCTTCCAACAAGGAACATTTCGATTTAAGATGAGAATGAAACCATCAACTTAATTACATCTGATACTGATGACATCGCATATTTATGACGCCTGGAATGATCATCGAGATGTATACATCGACAGAATCACACGAGCAGTCATTTACAGAAAAAAAAAACAACATCAGACGAGAACATTTCTGATTTTGATAGAATCTTCATGCAGAATAAAACAATTTTAGGAACAATAGTAACAAAACTAGAAGCTCGTCTATATAAACGCTCTCAATTGTTCAATATTCTCCAGCAGGACTTCAAAACCCGATCAGGCATCCAAACAACAAACATTTTACACATACCTGCAGGTGAAAGGTTCAGAAGAAGTTCGTTCCAGTATTCAATTCTGACACTGAACGGTGATACGAACTGAAATCGAATCATATTTCTCGACTACAATCCG